GCGAACTGTCTGGCCAGCTACTACGAGTACACATCATGATCAATATCTAAGCTTCCTCGTCCCTTTGGTTTTCTTGATCCACTGGGCATCCCGTTTGCTTAATTCCATCGCACTTCTCTTCCTCTTCGCATCTCCACCCCCAATGTTAGCTGCGGTAATGTTTCCACACTCAGGTGTTGTCAACCTTTGTCCGAATTGATCAGCAGCCCAAATGAGAACACCGTTCGACCAACCAAATCCTTCCACCACTGTATACTCTCCGCCCCCTCCAGCAGCGTTGGTACTCTCATCAGAGTACTTTTCGAAGATCGTCCCGTTACCTTGAGAGTCGGGAAGTTGCGGCACTTCATCAGTCGCGCCACCAGTGACACGCCATGTGCAATACAAAGAGTCAAGATAGCGTTGTGCAATGCGGAGGGAAAGATCTTGTGTCCAAATGTAATCCTCGGTTGACTGCTCGTCATCGTCTTCGCTAACCTCGAGGGGGGTGTTAAGCAGACCTTGCATAAGGATGTATTGAAGTGGTGGCCAGACGTTTGGCTCATCCCATTGCTGGCCGGTCTGGAGGTTCGTTGCAGCAATCGCACCGTCTCTGGATTCAAGAAGCTCTTCGACTCGTGCGTAAACGCGCCTTATTGCCTTGGGGTCATTCTTGATGCTTTCAGGAGCCGCACCTGTCCAGAAAGGATAGAACTGGGAAATCTGGAACCATATTTGTTTTCCAGGCGGCGCTCCTTGGAGCGCAAGTGGTGTACTTGTGTTATCGGCCAAGGTGTAAATATTCTGGCTACTAGAGGTCAAGTTATAGTCGAAGTAGCTGTAGTGCTCAGGCGACCAAAGGACTGTTGTCATTGCCTCACTCCGATTTGCAGCGCGACCGGCCCACTCGCGTGCGGCGGTATAGTTGCCTTGGTGGCGGTGGAATTCGGCGATCGTAATCTCATTGTAGTACAGGATCGAGTTGAGCTCTACTGGGATGATCTCAATGGTATTGAGCGAACGAAGAGGGAAGAATGTTTCTGTAACAGCGTCGGATGGGTTGGCAATCCAGCGTGCTGAATAGTCCCATCCACTCTCTGCACCCGATGCAAGGTTGGAATACAACGTCGCCTTTTGAGTCTCGTTGAGTGGCTGTGTGGCGTTGAACTCCTCGCCTTCTTCGTTGAAGTAGGTCGCATTGTTGGCAGTCACATAATCCTCGTAGTAGGATTCAGGTCGTGGCTGCGTGTTTGACACGGCATAGTGGTTGAGAGAGTAGTTCATGCCAGCCCGCTCAAGCGTCACGGTACGGTTGTTCACCCAAAACTCATACTCCTTTTCAAGGATGGGTATCGCCCGTTCGAGCAGAGTATAATTTTGTGTATACTCGACGTAAACACGAACCATCTGCGTAAGCAGTGGCGGCTGCGATCGATTTTCGTAATAGCGACGAGCGCCGTTGGGCACGAAGCCAATATCTTCGACAAGATCCATGAAATTCTCGATGATGTTTTCGGCAATCTGAGTAAAGGACCCCTGAGTACGAAGGAGGCCTTCGATGATCCAGAAGGAGTCCCAGTAATATGGCTCCCTGAAACGACCGCCAGCTACCACGAAGGTACGGTTGACCGGAAGGAAGGAGTTAACGCAGCCAGAGCAGTTTCCAGCTCCGACATATCGGCGCGTTAAGTCAGGCCATATATCGATGACTTGGCGTGTGAAATCTCGAACAACAGAGCTGTTGACGTTGTCAAGAAAATCCGGCTGCGTTTCTAGCTCATCAGTAGGTACTTCTTCTAGTTCTGAACCAGCTTCGCCAAAGTATTCGGATAGAAAATCATTTAGCGCTGTATTGTTCTCGATCGGTCTCGAGAGGTTGGCGAATGCTGCAAGCACTTCTTCTAGCGGGCGTGTTGTTGGTCTGCCATTGATTAGCTATGATCTAATACGGGTCCTTCAAGTTACTTACAAATCGACGAACGTCTTCGAATCCTCAAACGGTCTTGCGAGTTCGATTTCGCGAAGCAGGTCGCCATAACAGTAGATGGGTGAGTCGCAAGGTGCAATCACGCTGCCATTGATGAACAGAGCATTTGCCAAAGGCACGCTTGCAATGAGAGCAGGAATCAGCGAGCGCATTGAAGCCATGATTTAGACCCGGCTCCAGCGGAAGAAGAGAAGGAATTGACACAGGACCGAACATGTCCAGTCCGCCTACTTAAGCTCTCAGCCGTGCGACCCTAGTGTACAAAGAAACCTGCCATTGCACCGCGCAGTACGGGTACGCTGACCGGTCCGTCCACGTACGTGGCTTGCTAAACCACCCAAAATGCGTATCGTCATACTTGGCAAGCTTTCCCGAAGTACCCAAGTAATAGTTCGGCATCAGCACATGGCGTATCGGAGGAGTGGTGTTATTGGTAAAATGTGGAGAGGTCGAGCCCATGCGGAGGTTCCCCGCAAAAATGGCTGTCCAAAAAGTCTTAGCGTGATGTCATCGCTGTCAGCTCCGGTCCGAAAACCATGGTACCGATTTTTGCATGTCACAGCTTTGACATTGGAAATTACCTATATCCTCACAGTGCCGTCTCCAGGTTTTAACAGCTTGGAAATACATGGCACAAAAAAGCGCGGCTTAGTTACACTGGTACATACCCGAGGGCATTATCCGTATTCCCCAGTACCGCTTTGTCAACGGACCTCTAGCACATCTGACAAAGGTACCGTAGTCCCGACATCCGATTCGAAACTGCAGCGAGTGTGGTTTCAAAGGTCGCGACTTCTACGTCCACGATCCTGTGCAATATATTGGCGTAATAGTAAACGGTGTTCAAGGACGTGGAACCACATCACGGCTGTTGTCTCATCACATTCAGAGCTCGTCAAAGCACTGAGAAGCTAAGTTGAACCGTCGTTCCTTGCACTAGCGCAACTCTAGTAGTAAAACATCCAGTATTGAGGCTGACTTGACTTCTCTTGTCGCCGGTCCGGCTCGGTTCGTCCTCCTAATCACGTTCCCTTTATCCGTACATGGTCTCGCAAAATCACATGGCATCCGATTCTTGCCACGACTAGACTCCAGATATTTCTACCGCTGTCATTAGTCTCTGGTCCGAGCGGCGCTATTTGTACAAAGGGATATTAGATGCGCTTGCGATTTGCCGAAGCAATTTCCGATTATCATCAGAACCACAATTCAAGTTCCTTCCATTGGTCTGTACAATGTGGAGAAGCACGATCAGACACGGACATAGACTGTCACGAAGCCTTTTCGATGATTTGGGTTGTGCCAAGAACACTCACAATGCTGTACGGCTTTCTTCTTGTCCGCCTCCTACTTTCTGCACTTTCGATTGAGTGCAACTCCATCTCTCCGATACCAAATTCGTTCTGTAATGAAGAACCACATACCATCAACAATCCTTCCGTTCAGAGTACCGCAATGTCCTGGCCCTTGAACTCGTAACCTGAGAGAACGAATCAGGGAATCCTTCCAGGCAGGTTTGCCAGCGACTATCGTGATTTCGATGTCTTAACTTTGCTCAGCCATCCAAAAATACCGCTGTTGCCAAATTTGCGGGATCCAAGCTGTGCTTATCGAACATGCGTGCGATGGGATTGCTCTCCTCGGCTCATGAGCAAAGTGATCTTGGTTATTCCAGTATCGTCCTCACCCCAGCATTCTCGCCAAGCCACCCAGACTGACATTGAGGCTAAAGCTCAGCTTAACACCTTTAGCCTGCGCCGTGAATTCCTGGGTATGTTCACTCCATTCCCTCCGGATCTGCGCGCGTTGTTGGAGAGCGCTGGGCCTTCTCTGCACATTCTCCCTCTTGTCACTTTCTCTGTGTACGAGAGGTCTTCGTTGCAAATCTTTCGTGTCTTGTAAAACTGGTGCTATCATGGTTTGTATGCTTGCGATCTGATGTGGCGGCACGTTTTCGAAGAGGAGTTTACCGCTCTTGGTCTGCATGACGAAGCTTTGGTACCGATAAGCATGCAGGATCAAACTGTGAACATCTGACATGGCACTCTTCTCAAGAAATGCAACGGCAGATTTGTAATGCCGCAAGTCCCATACTGAGGCATTCTTCTCGGTTATCAGCAAGAAATTATCTCCGGCACCCAGTGCTACGAGACGCGGCCGATCGATCCAACTTCCATCCTGTATGTTGTTCTGTAAGGCGACAAGCAGGGTTCCTGGCAGATTCTTCCAGAGGTACGAAGCTTTGTCGTGGATGAAGAAAGACGAATTATATGGTCCCAGCGTACATCGTATATTAGGAATGTTGCGGTTTTCAGCGTGCAGGAAGTCGACTAGCTCGTGCGGGAGTCCAGAGCTCTCAACACGGTCTCTTCCACCAGTATCTCGCCAGGTCAAGAGGAAGCTGTCCTCGAAACCAAGGGTCACATGATAAATCTTTTTCAATTGTGAGGAGCTGAGAAGTCTTGCCAGCTTTTTAGGAAGACGTGCACTGCACCATCATCAGTATCACTTATCAGCCTGTTTTGTGTATGAAAGCATACTATTCTCGTCTCGACGGACATTGGAAGAAGTGGCAGCCGCGTTGGCCAAACGTAAACGTAGAATCGCACATGTGCCGCCGAAAACTCGGGCTCGCTAAGAAGAAAAAACGCTTGGTCTAGATCGATGGAAGCGGTGTGCGACGCTGAACACAGTGGGCCACTATAAAGCCGCAATGTTGTGAAGAAGTAGGCAATCGCACGACTGATTGTGTTGACATTCGCCTTGCCAAGCTTGATCGCTTCCAGGGTCTAAACAGGATAGCAACGTTTTGAAACCGTTGTCGGGGAACACGCGCCAGTTTGTAAAGACGTCAGGGCAACGGAAACCTATCAACGGCTCAATACATACGCGCTTGTACGTTGAATGCATATTGTTTCACTCATTTAAGTGCATTGTTGACATCTTTAGAGGTTTCACCACGTTAAGAGTGCGTGACGTCATAATAGCTTCCAAACCAATCGCGCCCAGCCGGGAATGAGTGGTACCGCGAGCAATGCCTCGTTCTTTTCGTTCGGCCCCAATGACAGCTACATATCCAAAAGCTTTGCGGGGCTCAATTAGTACGCTGCCAGCCTATTTCTTTGTACGCGACAACTAACGATCAACAGTCGTAACCTCCCTTCCAGCCTCCAAGATCTCCTTCTAGGTAGGTCTGTTTCCGAAGTACATTGGGCAGCTCTAGGGCCGATAACCGAATCCTGGATCCTGAGTTCCAAAGACTCATCGGGCAGAAACAGCCTGCAGTGGGGCTCATCTATACCTTCACGACTCCAGAGTATCCTGACCAAGACATGGCACTCTCCACACCTGCGTGCCTTCTTGGGGCCCGACGACTCCTTCATCATCTGGCACCCTGAGCTCATACGTTGGGCCAATCTGCCACCGAGCCTAGAGGATGCCGTACAGTCTTGGTTGACACCTTCTGGATGGCGCGTAGGGCCGCCACGCATTGTAACATGGGGTCCTGAAGGTGCATTCTTCGCTATGAGTGAGTACGGTGACGTTGTATACCGTTTAGGCGATGTAGATGCCTGGGAAATTTACAAAGAGACGGTAGAAGAGTGGAAGGCGGAGAAGGGGTTTCTCTGGAGCGACCTGACTTTCATCACGCTGGATCCTACCAGCTCTGATCAATTCATCGCAATTCGGAACGATGGGACATGGGCTGGCTCCATCGATGATGTCAACGAGGAAGCACTGGAGACTTTTGCACTCAACTTCTTTGCTCGAGCGAAGAAGAAGTCCAAACCTAGCACATCCCAGTCGAGCGGGCAGATGCCAAACGGTACCGACAAGTCTACAGAGGCGAAACCCGACGCCGCGACCCAAGCCCTCTACGAAAAATGGTCTACAGAAGCGGCAGTCATGTTCGCAGCCGCATCAGCAGCAGCCGGAGGCTCGAAACCTAAAGCCCCACGGAAACTCCAAGTTCGTTCCCAGTCCAGTAGCTCAGATGCCTCTAGACCGCCACTGCACCGCACGCCATCTGCATCGCCAAAATTACTGTCCATGTTCCCATACCTGCCTAACACGATTACGACCTGCAATCTCACAGCATGTACGATTCTCAAATCTGAACCAGATAGCATACACGCCTGCCAACACGACGTAGAAAAACTACTTCGAGCAAGCGGTTTGTATAGCTACGAGTGGCTACGTCAGGAGCGCTTGCGATGGCATCCAGACCGCTTCGGACGGCTATGCGATGAAGAATGGAGAGAAACTGGGAAGAAGCTCGCCGGCGAGATGTTCAAACTCATGAGCGTACTGATAGAAGATCTCAAATTGCATCAAGGCGAAGGCAGCGGTAGTAGGGGTGTATAGGAAATAGAATTAAGAGAAGGCGTTTAGACATGGTTAAGCCTGTCTAGCAACCAGCTTCAGACTCCCCTGATCTTTCTCTAGACTCACGCTAGTACTTGCAGCGACCTCTTCCAACCGCTGTCTGCCCACCGGCCTAGCCTCACCCGTAATGATATCATCCATCTCGCAAAACAACATTGCCATTATCGAACTCTTCCACAGCCTCTCGCTCTCCACGCCCCTACTCTCAAGGTGCACTAGTAAGAGGAAAATAGCTGAAAGTGCTATCATCGTAGCAGGAAAGGCGACCCACGTCCAATTTATGTTGATACAAGTTGTTGTGTACCACATTGTCCCTTCAGCAGGCTTGTTAAAACCCGGCATGCCGTGGGTACGGAGGACAGTGTTCATGGCGGTGGTGAGGTTTGTCATCAGACTGCTGACGTGGTCTAAAGGCGCATTTCGCATTTCGCCATCATTCCACAAGACACGCATGGCGGCAGATCCAGAGCGGCCATTTGGTACAAACACGAGGAACTGCGCGTCGTAAATGGCTCCGAGATGTTGCCGAATACTAGACGTAGCCGTGAGCGTCATGGCCCAAACGCAGTCTTCGGGGTACCACACAGTTTCCGCACCTGGGCCTTCCACGTCCAGGTAGGTTGTATTGATGGGTGCGGCGTCGATGTTAACTTTCGCGACGGGCAGATAGCCGGGTGTGTCAGTGGTTCGCTCATCACAGGTAATTTCTGTGCCGTTGCGGAGGGTTTGCTTCGTGGCTAGGCGGAAGACAGTATCGAAGCCAGAGGCTGCTACGTCTTCACCAATACGAACGCTCTTGATCAGCTTTTCCTTCAAGATACCATTGTGGTATGTCGCCTCCATTGTGTTAACTGTAGGATATATCCCGCATCTTATTGCTTTGTACTCGTAGTTCTCGCGTGTGGAGTTCGATACGTATATCATGCCTATCGTCGATATGGTGCCATTGTAACCAAGTTGTCCTTGTGATACGCCAGTAACGATGGATCCAGGCCAACCGGCAAGCAAAAACTTGACTGGGGGGTAAGCAAGGAGGTTGTCGGAAAGCGGCAGAGAAAGACCAATGTTTCTTGCTTTTGTGCCGTTTCTCATAGTGAATTCATAATCAGTTGTGAGGGCAGCCGTCCCGTTGGTACCATTCAGTGAACTGCTACTCATCTCCTCAGCACACGCCTCGGGACTGCCACCACAGTCCATTTGAATCAAAAACTCGGTCGGTAAATAGCCGTAGTATTCAGCATCGTCGTAGTTGAGTGGTACTTCCACTACTTCCGATGTAGCATCTTCGCACCAGTGGTCGGTAGCCAGAGTTGAAAAGGTCGATCCATTTGCAGCCGGAAAGGTGCAATTACCAGTTTTACATCCGTAAGAAAGAAGGGTAGTCGTGTCCTCGAGCGGTTGAAGTATCCCAACATCCATAGCTACACTCATGGGAAGGAATTCGTCGAACCTTTGTGCAGCTATCCTTTCTCCACTAGCGTTGTAAAAATTAGACCTGCGTATTCCGACTGCGGCACTTTCATCAGTACGGAGGCAATCATTGAAGACAACAAGTTGCTGAGCAGCGAATCCAGTAAAGGCCGACATGACGGTGACAAGAGCGCCCATCGCAGCGATAAAGCTTGTATGTGTAAGTTCATGCCTAGACATAGTTCGCATATACATACTAAGGCTTCTTAATCCTGAGACCGAAGATGAATAAGACAGAGCCCCATGCACCACGACTGGCGGAGTCAAATTTTGCCATGTCATCAAGCTTGCGTGCTTTGCGGAACCATTGCCACTTCGATTGACTGATCCCCTCGGCGAGTACCATGCTTACTCCAGCCCTAATCATCATGGAGAACAGAGAGACGATAGAGTTGATGCTAACAATCTGAGGCCAATCTGGCAAGGGGCGATCTTGATGAGCCATGAGTGTAAGAACAAGGCCGATCAACGACAGCAGCGCAAAAATGCAACTACATGTCTCCGCCGTCCAGCCCTTTCTCCATAACCGCAGTGAACCATTAGCAAATGCCTTCCAGCCTCGAGCGACACCGCGTAAGATTGCAGCTAGAGCATTAGGGAATACTGAAAGGCATCCTCGGGGGTGTGCTGTAAGGTTCTTCTTCATTTGACCCTGGTTGGAGTCCTTCTCCACTGTGGTACTTGTGGGTTCTTTACATTTTTGTTGCAGTAGCGGACTGGATTGTGGTGGGCCTGTGCGATCCATTGTTGGAGGAAAGAGTGACAAGGTGTGCTGTCAACGTCCGGAATGCCACCATACTATAAGGTTTCATCAGCATGGACGAAGTGCAAGGCGGCTCAGCAGGGCGTAAATGCGGCGCCATGCACTGTAACGGCTCTATAGCGCGTACTAGAGTCTGTCTAGGTAATGAGTTGTACCCATGGTGACAAGGGTCAGGCTGTAGGATTCTGCGTCGCAGAATACGCCGCTGTTGCAGGCACCTGGCCACATTCCTTACGTTCTATTTTTTACCTGTACTATACGACGTTGTTACAGACAGTGTACCTCTATGTTGTCTTCCTGTGTCCATGTGCCCGTTCCAACATGACCATGCGATCCAGAAAGGCCCCCAAATCCGTGCCTCCCACAGGATAAAGTCCGAAGCGCCCGCTGCCTGTTCGGCTCTTCACCGCAGCTGTCATTGGACATGCGGGCGCGCTAGTGCACAATATGTGATGAAGTCGTAGGAACAACTGCATGTGCGGGGCGGCTCAAATTTAGGAGATTTAGTATCCGAAGCAAGCCACACAGACCCTGGACGTTAACCTCTTTCCGCCCCAAGGTACCCGCAAGGTGCAGCAGGCGCGACTCCAACATCAAGTACTATACACGCGCTTGGGCAGGGCCTGCCGCCGCCGCATTAGCGTCATACATCAACTGCACATCACATACAAGTTAAGGACGAAATAGTTGCCGAATCTCTGCATGCAATGAAGAACCAAAATATTATTCTAAAAATCGTCGTCCTGTGTTGACAGGTTGAATATCGAAGTACAAGACCCATGTCGAGCCGCCGCAGATACCAAAGAATGGTGATCAGGGTATACGCCTAACCGTGTGAACGCCGAGTATTCCCAAAGGCCGTTATTAGAGTCAACAAATCGCCAAATCGCATCCTTTAAGTGCAATGACTGTACAAATTTATGAGTACCAGCTCTGTTGCTGGCTGTACCCTTGGTTGTCACCAATATCATCGTCATTGTATTCTTCCACCTCAAACTTGGAGCCTAGAGCCTCGTTCGCTTCTCTCAGCATGGCAGTCATCTGCAGGCTCATCCTGCGCATGCGCTCGTCTTCCTCGATCTCTTCCCTCCGCACTTTGTTGATCAGACGTTGACTTTCCTTTGGCAGAGGGCTCGCGGTGTTGCTTGATTTGTCGTCGAACATGGCTGGTGAGCCGTAGCTTCGTCGGCTGTAGGAGTGCGCTCGTTCGTGTGAGCTAGGAGTGACTGCCGGGCTGCCGCCGAAGGATCGTCTCTCAACTGTCGAGCGTCGGGATACTGGGATTAGTGAGGGCCGTTTGTAGGATGGCGTTCCTGCGTTTGGTCGTGATACAGGGCGTGGGATTAATGAGGGCGATCGATCGGGCAATCTTCGCTCTGATAGTCGTGGTGTTGAGGGTCTTGATTCTGTCTCTAGATTAGTTCCAACAACCACCCAGTTGTCTGCTGTGCGCAGTCGCTTGGCCATCCTAGGTCGATCTGGCGTAATGGAATCGATTGACTGGACTCCATAGTCATCGCTTGGAGCAGGAGGCAGTTGCTGCACTGGACCTGCCTGATAGGGGTCGTCCTGCAGCCCGAGTTTCGCCGCGACCTCCTCCTGCGCATCGATGCTGTATCGCGCTCCTCCTCCCGCCTGGAAACCTCGGAAGGGCACTGTGCAGAACTGGAACAGCTTTCCAGCCACTCCTCCAACAAGACCCATTATAGACCATGATTTGCTCTCGCTGGGTGTCGTTTGCACTTCGCCAACTGCGACCTGTCTTGCCAGGCCAACCTGGGGTGTAGGAGGTACCGACCAGGTACCGCGCTGCTTTTGGAGGTTGAAGTAATCGTCGTAGTCGCCTTCTCGTCTTGTATCGTTGTGTGTCCCATCCATACCCCCAGCAAGTTGGTAGCGGTCGTTCGCAAGCGGAGGTGGACTTCTGGTATCGCTGGAGCGAGTGTTGTGCAGGACATGTTCTCCCCAGGGACCTCCTATCGCGGCTTCGTGCGCCGTGGAGCCATATCGGGAGCGCTTGCGGGTCTCGTGGACATGTGAATCAATCACCTGGTGGCTGGAGGTTTCATATGCCGCATCGAAAAAGCCCTTCTGAGACTTTGCGCGTGCATCCAAGGGCGAGGGACTATACAGCCCGGGCATATCGTGGAAGTAGCGCGAGTTGGTAGCCATGCAGGGAGGTGGATACGGAGGCTGCCTTTGCGTAGGGCTGATCCGGTACTGCTAGCGAGCGAATGATGTCAGGCTTGCTGCACGAATTACTGGTATCCGTCGGGAGCTTCCTTGACCCGCTGCTCCAAATGGCAAAAAAAGTAACTAAAGGGCCATGTTGGGTGCGGCCTGTCGCGTGTTCGGGATGTGAGTGGGGAACTGCGGAGTGAGAGCCATTGTTTGTATTCAACCGTCGCTGTGGTAGCGCTATGGACGGACCATCATCATCATCATCATTATCAATGTCATCATCTTCACAGGAGCAACGAGTAATCGCAAAATGAGGGACTGGTGCATATGATTTTACAAAGAGCAGCGGACCCATCTATCAACACAACAACGCCTCCCTTCCCAAGACTGGGGTATACCTTGCCCAAACGCCGCCAAAATGATCATGGTTCTCTACCAAACGCCAGCGCCATTAGCGCATTCCCTTTACGCCCTTGCTATCCAGCCGCTATGCACAAAGTATTCAAACAGTTGCGATGATTTGTTCGTATCGATCTTGCAAATCTCTTTAGCCGTCTTCTTCTTAAGCGCGCCGCCATTGTTGAGTGCTGCCCGAATGATAGTTTCCTTGAGCGCTAGATATGGCTTGGGCATGATACGCAGCGTACTGCATATCTCCACCTCCTCTGCATTGAGCAACTGAAGATCCGCTTTTGACTCTTTGCCAAACTTGAGAGGCACGGTATTGGGGAGTGACTTGGGCACAAACTTTGTCTTGGAATGCTGTGGTGTTAGCACACCATTTGCACCGTTGACGCCGTTTTGAGCGCGATCCGGAGGTGGCGTTGTGAGACCACTGTTTTGTTTGACATGCAAAGGCAGCTCCTGCGCGAGCAATGCCGTGGCTGCAGATGGTTGTTCGAAAGGTGGTTGGGGTTTTGTCATCCTACTGGATGCCAGACGATCGAACTGCCCGATGGGAGGCGGCCGGGTTTGCCGTTGCTGCTTCTCCTGTTCGTACTTCTCCCCAGCTTTGAGACTCGTGATCTGCATGTTCCTCCACTCCTGGAGCTGTGAGATGGCCTGCCTAAGGTTGTGCTCGTATTCTAGATCCTTGCAGAACTGCTCAAAGTCGGCATGCTGCATCATCCTGGCAAAGGGCTTCGCCTTGTTCATCAGGTCTTTTTCTTCTTTGGTTCGCTTCTTGTCGGCCAGCTGATTCTTGCGATACTCTAGCAACTGATGCTCGAAGATGATCTTCTTGCGCTCAACTCGGGCGTCTAGACGGTGGTTGTAGATTTCCATAATGGTCATCTTGAGCTCCATCTCCGGCTCCAGCTCGCCCGTCCTTGGGTTCAAGCCATCGCCAGGGTCAAACTGCATGTGCTGCACAGCCTCTTCGGCTTCGTTGAAGTACTCAGTCTCGAATTCCAAACGACCGGGCATGTATCCTTGGACCTCGTGGCAGGCCGGGACACTAGCCGTGGGCTTCTGCTTGGGAGCATCGGGTTCGCGGCCTGCAGCTTCCTCCTTCTTCTTCTCTATCCTCCTCTTCTTCCTCGCCTGGAACTCGTGACGCGGTATGCGGGTACTGAGCTCGGTGTCATCCTTGCTGCAGTGCTCCGGCAGGGGAAAGCTCGGGCTGTCCAGGTAGGTGTCGATGTAGTGATCGCGGACCTCATCCTTCTCGCGGTAGCCGCCAATGTGATCCGCAATGTCTGCCCATGAGCCCAGACCATATGTTTCGGCGCCTTCCAAGAGGGCCAGCTCCTCGTCGGCGCCCCAGTCTTCGGTGTATATGGGGATGGAGTGCTGCTCGATGACCTTGAACTTGTGCTTGGCAGGCTGGTGGTCGCGTGTAGCCTTGCCGTCGGAGAAGCATGGCACGCAGAGGTCGTATTCGCTGCACACGTCTTCGGCGCAGCGTATGCGGACCGTCGACGTGATGTCGGACGAGCACACATCACAGACGTACTTGGTGCCACCTTCGGTGCCCCGCGTACCCGTCTTCTTCTTGATGACCCCCATGGTGCCCCGCTATTGATGTGCGCGCAAGTGAAGGAGAGATGGGGATGAGACAGAGAGCTGTGGCTGTGCACGCCGTTGCTGCAAGGGCGCGAGTCGGGGTCGGAGGGGGCGATGACTAATGCAATGTAGGATAATGCCGCAGCTCGCAATGTTCGACTGAGACGGGCGGCTGGGTGCGTTCAGATGGCGAGCGGACGCGGTGTTGGGCTCCAAGGTCGCGCGGTGTTGACGTACCCACGCCGGACGTTGTTGGCGGCGGCGGAAGCTGCAGCCGAGGCTGGGATGGGATGGGCAGGCACGAATCACGACTTCACTCGCAATGGCGTAGCATGGCCCGAATTAAAATAGACAAGCAGACTCTCACTCGTGCTGCGACGCGCGAAACACTGCAAAGGAATGGCAAAAGGATTGGCGCGTCAGTGCGTGGTCAGTCCGAAATGAAGGCTAGTTTCAGAGACCCAATGACCCAACTTCAAACGAGGACCCTATCTGGAGCATCGCAGCATTGACGGAGACCTGGGGCACTCGGACGTTAGACACATTGCCACCAGCCGCTCCCTATACCTAGGTCCTGTCTGCTCTCCCTTTCCAGAGCCCTCTCCCTGAGCCTCTACACTATTCACCGTCTGCCAGCACCACCTCCGCTCCTTGGTGTGCCCCTCGTCGCCTTCCCGCGTCCCGTAGTCTCCACCCTCTCGCTCCCTAGCAGCAGCACCCTGGGTATCCGTCTGTTCTTCCTGCATCTGCCCACTGCTGAGCTGCCGCAACCATGTCTTGGAAGCTCACTAAGAGTGCGTATATCCCCAGAGCCCGCCTGCTGAGTGGCGCCCCCTAACCCGTGCTGCAGAGCTCAAAGAGACGCATCTTGCTCCCCTCGCCAACACATTCAGTCGCTCGTCGTCGACGTCGACAATAGTCGGTGACCAGCCGACGCCCAAAGCCTCGAGTTCCGCCGCCAGCGCGACGACCCTCGGAGACTCCAAAGACAATGGCATCGGTACTTTGGTCCTCCTGTCCCCACTCACCTCCTGCTGACCCAGTCCAGCCGCCTCAGAAGCCAACGCATCCGCCCCGGCGCAGCCCCTTCGCCCTGGTATCCTGATCGTCACCCTCCATGAAGGCCAGAAGTTTTCGCTGCCCCCGGGCGCTGAGCAGCAATTCAGCGGCGGGAGCCACCACCAGGGCTCCATGTCCCAGGGCGGCGGCCTCTCCGTGGCAGGCTCAATGCGACCCGGGTCGTCTTCGCGCAATGCAGTCGCCGGTTCCTACGCGAACCGGCCGCAGTCTGCTGCTGGCAGCATCAATGCTGCGCCTACCATTCACGGTCGCTACTCGTCAAAACACCTGCCCTACGCTCTGGTCGATTTCGACAAGCAACAGGTCTTCATTAACGCAGTCTCCGGTACACCAGAGAACCCGCTCTGGGCTGGCAGCAACACGCAATACAAGTTCGACGTGTCCCGCGTCACCGACCTCACCGTCTCGCTTTACATCCGAAACCCCTCCGCATCGCCCAACGCCGGTCGCAACGAAGACATCTTCATCGGAACACTCAAGGTCCACCCCAAATTCGAGGAGCAAAGGACGGACAGCAAATCTGGAAATGGCGACGGCACAGCTGGCCAGGCCGGTGCTGATTGGATACCAGTGCAGTTTGGCAGCGGTCAGATGAAGGTCGGAGTCAACTTTGTCGAGAATCGCCAAGATCGTCTTGCGATTGACGATTTCGAACTTCTCAAAGTCGTCGGCAAAGGTAGTTTTGGAAAGGTCATGCAGGTGCAGTATGTGCTCATGCGCTCTTCTGCATTATCAAATACTCACAACGTACAGGAAGAAGGATACGCACCGAATTTACGCCCTGAAGACCATTCGCAAAGCACATATCATTTCCCGATCCGAAGTCGCACATACTCTCGCCGAGCGCTCTGTCCTAGCTCAGATCAACAATCCTTTCATCGTACCGTTGAAGTTCTCGTTCCAGTCGCCAGAGAAGCTGTACCTTGTCTTGGCCTTTGTCAACGGTGGAGAGCTCTTCCACCATCTGCAGAAGGAGCAACGATTCGACATCAACCGAGCTCGATTCTATGCTGCCGAACTGTTATGCGCCCTTGAGTGCTTACACGGTTTCAATGTCATTTACCGTGATCTGAAGCCCGAGAACATTCTTCTCGATTACACTGGTCATATTGCCTTGTGCGACTTCGGTCTCTGCAAGCTCGACATGAAGGATGAGGACCGGACGAACAGTAAGTCATATCTGAGCATGGCTTGAATCGGAGAACTAACACTGTCTTAGCATTCTGCGGAACACCAGAATACCTCGCTCCGGAACTCCTTACTGGCGCTGGCTACACCAAGTCCGTCGACTGGTGGACGCTTGGTGTTCTCCTTTACGAGATGTTGACTGGATTACCTCCCTTCTATGATGAGAACACCAACGACATGTACCGCAAGATTCTTACCGAACCTCTACACTTCCCCGGTCCTGAGATTGTCCCACCGGCCGCACGCGATCTCTTGACTCGCCTCCTAGACCGCAATGCAGAGAAGCGATTGGGTGCCAAGGGCGCTGCAGAGATCAAGGCGCATTACTTCTTCCACAGCATCGACTGGCGAAAGCTGCTTGAGAGGAAGTACGAGCCCAGCTTCAAGCCCAATGTGGTACGTAAAGCTTTTGTTAATTCAAAGGCCATGGCTAACATACACCTAGGTTGACGCAAAAGATACTGCCAACTTCGACCGCGAATTCACCTCGGAAGCTCCAACAGATTCGTATGTCGATGGTCCTATGCTTTCCCAGACTATGCAACAGCAATTCGCAGGATGGTCTTACAACCGCCCTGTTGCGGGTCTTGGCGATGCTGGTGGTTCGGTGAAGGATCCATCGTTCGAGGGTGTAACGGAAAGATAGTGCCTTCATCGTCTCAACACTTCGGCTTCGGAGAATGGCCGTTGAATAGGCGCGTGGCTTGTCACGGCAATGGAGCCGACTGCAAGCACAACACCCGCCGGCTTTGGATCCACAGATATAAGACATGGTCATTGGTGGGATCTCAGCGCTCTTTGATGCTTTTTTGGGTTCTGGAGCAATGGCACGGCGCTTGAGGCAGCATTTGTGTGAGAGAAAGCCTAAATTCAGGCAAGCAAATCAAGACGATATCCCCATTGAGTTAGAGATGCACATGTCTTAGTGATCAGCTTTGTGGTGCTTTGGTAAGGCTGTCCAGGTGGAACCAACGGGATGTTCTGACAGCAAGCGCGTGGTAAAAGTGGTGCCCCTCCTTCCCTCAACGGAGCTCTGACGCAAGCGGGGCTGAGTCTCGGCCGCGCGACTTACAATTCTCCCATCACATCCGCGAAAACAATCATCTTCACTTTACTCACACCTTTTCCATCATCTCTCGCGCTTGCAATTGACCTCCTCTATCTCCAATTGTCCAAGTTTGAAACCTCATACCCGCCCACTAATCCTATAACACAACATGCCCGGCTTCGCACAGGCCTCAGACCTCAATGCCTGGTCCGCGCTTCAGGACCACCACCAGAAGCTTGGCAAGGACATTGTCTTGAAGGAGTACTTTAAGAAGGACCCTCAAGTAGGTCTGGATGGCTAAATCTAGTACGTTGCTAACAAACTGTAGCGATTCGAGAAGTTCAGCCGTACTTTCAAGAACGATGCCGAGAACTCCGAGATCCTGTTCGACTTTTCCAAGAACTTCGTCACTGAGGAGACACTGAAGCTTCTTGTCGAGCTCGCAAAAGAGGCTGGCCTCGAAAAGCTTCGCGATGACATGTTCGCTGGTGAGAAGATCAACTTCACTGAGAACCGTGCCGTCTACCATGTCGCACTCCGCAACACCTCCAACCAGAAGATGGAGGTTGATGGCAAGAGCGTCGTCGAGGACGTCAACTCAGTTCTTGACCACATGAAGGAGTTTAGCGAGCAGGTCCGAAGTGGCGAGTGGAAGGGATACACTGGCAAGAAGATCGACACCATCATCAACATTGGTATCGGTGGTTCTGACCTGTATGCAACTCTGTTTGATACTGTTCGAACGTGTACTGACTTCAAATAGTGGCCCCGTCATGGTCTCAGAAGCCCTCAAGGCCTACTCTCAGCGCGATCTCAAGATCCACTTCGTTTCCAACATTGACGGAACTCACATCGCAGAAGCTCTCAAGGACTCCAACCCCGAGACCTCCCTCTTCCTCATCGCCTCCAAGACCTTTACCACAGCCGAGACCGTCACAAACGCCAACACCGCAAAGTCATGGTTCTTGAAGAGCGCAAAGCAGGAGGACATTGCCAAGCACTTCGTTGCCCTCTCCACTAACGAGGAAGAGGTCACCAAGTTCGGTATCGACAAGAAGAACATGTTCGGCTTCTCCGACTGGGTCGGTGGACGTTACAGTGTCTGGAGCGCTATTGGCCTGAGCGTGGCTCTTTACATTGGCTTCGACAACTTCCATCAGCTCCTGGCTGGTGCTCACGCCATGGACAAGCACTTCAAGGAGACTCCTCTTGAGCAGAACATTCCCGTCATCGGTGGTCTTCTGAGTGTATGGTACTCCGACTTCTTCGGCGCCCAGACTCACCTTGTCTCTCCGTAAGTTTGTCAGTTCAGCAGATACGCTTAGTCTGACATTGCCCAGCTTCGACCAGTACATGCACAGGTTCCCCGCCTACCTCCAGCAATTGTCCATGGAGTCGAACGGAAAGGCCATCACCCGCAGCGGCGACTATGTCAAGTACACAACCGGTCCCATTCTGTTCGGTGAGCCAGCCACCAACGCTCAGCACTCCTTCTACCAGCTTCTCCACCAGGGCACCAAGCTCATCCCAACCGACTTCATCCTCGCCGCCCAGAGCCACAACCCTGTCGAGGGCAACAAGCACCAGAAGATGCTTGCATCCAACTTCTTCGCCCAAGCCGAGGCGCTCATGGTCGGAAAGACGCCTGATGAGGTCAAGGCTGAGGGTGCGCCTGAGAACCTTGTCGCTCACAAGACCTTCCTGGGTAACCGACCCACTACCTCCATCTTGGCCGACAAGATCACACCTGCCACTCTTGGTGCCTTGATCGTCTACTACGAGCACCTCACTTTCACCGAGGGTGCCATCTGGAACATCAACAGCTTCGACCAGTGGGGTGTCGAGCTCGGCAAGTCGCTGGCCAAGAAGATCCAGTCTGAGCTTGACGACGACAAGGAGTCTACTTCTCATGATGCTAGCACAAGCGGTCTCATCAACGCTTTCAAGAAGAAGGCCAGTTTGTAAGCGGCTGGTGATGTGTTGTGCGGGGCTTTAATGGCTGAATGATTTGATGACTGGAGGCTGGATTCGCAGCAAGCACCTGAAGGATGCATATATAGTACTGATATTACGAAATACCAATGGACACGTTGAAGTATAATTTCGCGTCTGAATACCCTATACTCTAGCATGTGAATTGCGTTCGTTTCAATCGACTCTCTTGCCTCCACCTCCATATCCATATCCGCCTAATCCGTAGCCACTGCCCATGCCACTTCCTCGACCGTTGGCTACAGGCAAGCCATAGCCACTGCCTCCGTTGCCAAATCCTCTTCCACCACCATTCATCCTATCTGTAGCGTACCTCTTCAGCCGTCTGGGCAGTTCAACACCACGGAAGTAAACAACGCACACGGCTGCACTCGCCACAGCACTCAAGAAACAGTACACCAGAGTACTAGTATAGATGTGTCCACCATATCCACTCCAGCCAGGAGGCAGCGTAGTGCTTGGATACCACCTCACACTAAACGCCAAACTCAACGGATCCCCAATGGTAATCTTGGTATTCCTTGTATGACTTGACACGGAATATGCAGTCGCAGCATCCACCGTTCCAGGCGCCACGCTCTTGGGCCCTGCATGGACCAGCAAGTTCAAATAATTGCCCACGTGCAAGTGGCTCAACTGCAGTGTCCCCGCCAATGCTATGATCAGAGGTGTGTACATTGTGCTCTGAGTTCCTAATGCGCCTTCCTGTGTGCTGTCGTCGCTCACACGGTACTCTGTTTCCATGACGGAAGGTGGCAAGGGTTTCGAGGGAATGCGGCACGACAGGGGCGCATCGTTGTGGATGTAGAACTCGAGAAGGTGGAAGAACTCGTCGGTCACAAAGTCTATGGTGCAGTTCACGTCTTTTTCGACGCCGAAGTTTAGGTGGAGGGGTTGGCCCGTTTCGTTGCAGGTTGGGAAAGGTATGTACTGGAGGTGGCCGGCTGCATCTGTGATCTGGAAACACAAGGGTTAGTGGCTACAGGATAGAAATTTGGGGGTCATGCTCGTTGAGTATTCCAGGGCGTGGTGTGGGTGGCAGACGTACATGTTCACCGGTTTCTCTGACGTCGAGGTTAGCAATTGTACTCGCAGCTCCTTGTGTATATATTGTGACGTACATGGTTCGGTTTAAACAGCTGACTGGAATGATCTCGCCAGGATTATACCCTCGTGCTTCTTCCACGCTCTTCATGGGCTCCTGGCCGGTTAATGCTGTTGCAAGGGATGTCAAGAAGGAAAGTAATGCGACGGTAGGGAGCCATGCCGATGGCTGTCGTTTCGAGATCATGGCGAGAATCTTGAGAGGAGAAGCCAATCGTTCATTCAGCGCATGTAAGCCGGGTACTGCGCGTGAGGCAGCTGCGACGGTCGAGGTGCATGTGTCAACTTGGACAATGTTGGGTACGCGAATCGAGGTCCCTGGCCTGTGCCCGTCCGCGGCAAGAGACTCCCGGTCCAGCTCCGCAATCTAGTCTTCACCCTCACGGCCAAAGTAGATGCAAATCATATGCTTCCGTGTCAAGGTTGACGTATGCTTCGGAGATGGTCATAATATCTCGATAGCTATCAGTTCGGTAAGCACCCAGTGCTTATTATGCAAATGCAATGCAGTTATAGTACATTATGTACACGTTGGATTCATACATGGTTGATATCCCCGCCATTCCGAAGCATCAAATCAGCGTCATATATGTTTACCATCCCTTCCTCGTTAGTTCTGTCACCCGGTTAGTCACGTCGCGGAAACCCTTCTTGAACCTCGCCCTCCATCTCTCAGACGCCAATCGCTTCCTCTTCAATCCGCCTCTCTCGTGGAACCTCTGTTTGTTGAAGTCGCGCTTGACTTGGTTCCTTGCCATCAAACTCCCCAGCATGCCAATACCCCTCACCATATCCCGTCCGCGGCTAGGATCCAACTCTACAGTACGTCCGTATACGGGGTTCAAGCGTGGGAACTGAGAAAACGTCTCTTCCTGTTGTACAGCGAGCGATGCCGCACCGGAAGGCTTGTTGGCAAGACTTGGGTTGGCTATGTCGTCGGACAATGCCATGTCGTCGAAATTCAGGCCTGGCTTGTGGGCAGGCCGTCTGCTCTGGGTGCCCGCGAAGGCTTCTCCAAAGACGCGGTTGGCTGGTGAGGTAGGTGCTGCGCCCCGTGGCATATATGGTGCCCTGTTCGTGGTCGTACCGCCGAGCATGGAGTCGATTGTCTGTGACGTCTCACTCTGGGTGGGCTGTGGACTTGCGGCTGCTCGCTCGGGAACGTAATTTTGGTCTGCTTGCTTCCTCTGTGGCTGCGCAGGTTGTCTTGGCGATCTCGATATGGTTCGTTGACATGTCCAGGACGGTGTTGTCTGTCTCGAGGACTGCGGTATGCGTGTAAAGGTCGAGGGACGGAGCAGTCGCTCGCCCAGCGATCGTGATGCCATCTTCAAATGTTGTGGCTACAATCCTGGCATCGGCAGAAGTGATTGGAGGTGCTCGCGGCGGGCAATTGCGGGTTGGCTGCGGTGAATGATGGAAGTCATGCACGCCGCGGTTCCCAAATTTGTCGGCGCTGTAGGTAGTTGGTGGTCCGAGCGTCTCTCGAAGCTCCAAATCTCAACTGCGACTTCTGCCTCTCACTACAACACGCGACGAGCACCTCGACAATCCGATTTAGTAGCTCCCCCAAACAACCCTATCGAGTTCCGCGACTGTATATCTATCCAAGATGTACGGCTATCCTGGTACGTCGGGCGATTCCTTGCGACGCGAACTCTGCTAACATGCGCAGGTGCTCCGGGCTACAACCGCCCTCCGGGCTTCGCAGGCACTCCACCTGGCATGGCTGGCATGCCACCGCCTGGAATGGGTAAGCAGTCGCATCAACTGATAATGGAGGATCTAACAACAGCACAGGTCCGCCAGGCGCCGCACTTCCTCCAGGTGTAGCCGCTCCCCCCGGTGTCGCGAATGCCCAAGGTCCACCAGCCATGAACGCACCACGCGCTCTACCATCCGGATGGCAAGCGCCCCAGAACATGCCCAACTTCAATCTTAATGCGCCCGTCATCCGTCTGGGAACGCAGGGAGGACGAAGTGGTGCTGTCGACAGCCCTGTAGGCGGCCGAAGGGACAATGCAGCACCACCCGGTCGTCGTGGCCTTGGCATGGACAGAGACGGCGATCGCAGAGACGGAGTCCAGCCCGTCAATCCTCCATCACGCGAAGACATTGCACGGACCATCTTCGTTGGTAACATTCCCGATGGCGTTGGAGGCGACGAGGGCATGGAGCGCATTCTGGAGACGGCAGGAAAGCTCGTGCGCTGGACGAGGGCTACCGATGCCAACAACAAGCCTCAGACGTTTGGCTTTGCCGAATTTGGAGACGCCCAAAGTTTGGAAACGGCCGCTGAGATATTCAAAGACGTGCGTGTGCCTACAAAGCGACAAAAGCCCGGCAAGCCGAAAGCCGAACCCGAAGGCGATGAGCAGGACGAGGTGGAGACGACACAACTGCATGTCATGGTTGACGACGCCTCGATCAAGTACGCAGAGGAATGGAGCAAGACCCGAAACGAAGACGAAGCTACAGTTCAGTTCAGGCTGGATAGCGCAAAGGAAGCCCTCTCATCGGTTCTCGCCAGCTTCTTCCATCCACCAAGCGCACCCAACGTCGACTATGCAGGAGACACAACCATGCAAGATGCGCAGGCACAAGATGGTGAAGACGTGGAAGTCGCGTTTGTGAACCTTGCCAACGGTGAGGATGAGCTTGCGGACATTCCAGCAGAAATGCGTGACATTGTCGCCGCAGAGATTGCTGCTTTCCGCGATCGTTCCAATCAACGCGATAGAGAACGACTTTTGAAGGAAGAGGAACTGGAGGCAGAGGAGCGCAAGCGGAGTGGTAGGCGTGCATCGCCACCACCTTCTGCGCCTACTGGTCCCGGAGGTGCTAATGGCGTACCACTTGGCCCAAGAGCAGAGAGGGGTGTTCAAGGTGCCCCCAGTGGGCCCAAGGGCTCCCAATTCCCGCGTGACTACCAAGGCGGAGTCAACTTCGTCAATGGTGGTGCTATAAACAATGGCGTATACATTAACCGAGAGGATGATGACGACTCGGCCAGCGATTCGGAACTAGAGCGCCGTCGCAAGAAGAAGCGAGCAGAAGATGCTGACGAGGCATACAAGAAGCAACTCCAACGCTGGCTCCAAACAGAGCGTCGCACCTTCGCCTCCGTCGAACGTACAAACGACTACTTCAAGAACATGGATGCGGAACGCGAGAAGGCTCGTACTGCACAGGCGAAGCAACTCCGAGAGTTTGACGATGATCAGGAAGCAGCTTCAAGGCGCGATATCTACTACCGCGATCACAGCGATTGGATCCGCGACCGCGAGCAGGTTCGCGGCCAAGAGGCCAAGGAAGATGCTATCGATCGAGAGCAGGAGCGACGCGAGCAGGCGGCACAGAGGAAGCAGAAGGATCATGCCCGTGGACAGGCCGATGCCTTTTTGGAAGAACATGGAGAAGAGCTTATGCGCAGGGAGGAGCAGCGCGAGCCAGCACACTTCAAGATCTCCCTTGGCGCTGCAGCCAAGAAGCTTGAAAAGACTGCCGCTCCTCGTCGAACCGCAGCGGATGTCGAAAACTTGCTCGAGGACGAAGATCTCACAGACCAAAGCGGCTCTAAGAAGCGAACTCTTGTGCCCATCAACTTCGACGCTGCTGTACGTGCCAATCTTACACAAGAAGAAATCGAAGAAGCACAACGGCAGCTGGCACGCGACATTCCCAACGGCAAGGAAGGCCTGTGGAAATGGCCCGTTGCTTGGGAGCATCTGCCTCAGAAGAACATCGACAAAGACATCAAGCAGTGGGCTGCAAACAAGGTTCTTGAGCTCACAGGTGTTCAAGAAGAGATGCTTGTCGACGCTATTGTGGACCATTTGAAAAGTAAGGGCGCACCTCAACCACTTGTGGAGAACTTGGAAGTCGCTCTCGATGACGAAGCAGAGTCTCTTGTGAAGAAGCTTTGGCGTATGGTCATCTACTACAGTGAGACAGAGAAGAGGGGTATTAAGTGAGCGTGCCGCCTCTCGCTCATGCAAAAGAAGAGTCCATCTCCGATATTGTCTGCCAGGTTACCACTATCGTGGTTTTTGCAATTCTCAGGAATCGGGCGAGTGAGTATCTGGGGTTTTCGTGCTGGGTAGCTATTGACGCGTTGTAGGGTCCTCGGATCTTGCATCACGAACGAAGTGTAGATAAATGGGTGTATGGATACGATGAGGAGTCATACCAGGTCCGTCCTTTTACTTTCAATTGTCACGCCACTAATGCACAGGCTTGTTGTCTTCTTACCATTGTCCCAAGCTGGATGGTAGTTGAGTCCGTGGTTGCGTGCGGCTCTAGTATGGCGTGTGCTCAATGATGATCGACTTGGAGTATCAACATTGATACTCATGCTCCTCGGACTGGACTACTCCTTTGAATCCACTCGTGCCTCCCCGCGGCCGGTAAGTTCATGTTTGCCGCGGTATTTGATCACGCTCCACGATAGTACACGAAGTGCAAGAGTAAGTAAAGGACGGGCCTTATATTGACATACCCGGCCTGGTCGTCACGGCCGCTATTCTCTTAATTTCTCCTTCGCACCTCACGCATTGTCATGCGCGGTCGAGTCCAAGCTTCTCGCCTAGGTGCGAAGCACCTGGAGTCTCCTGGCAAAGCAAGGGTCCCCTATAGTTCGTGGGGTGTAGCACTGTAAAAGCTCACGTGTGAGGTAAATAATATGCCGGCAACCGTGGGCAACGTTGCCAGATGCCCCGGTTTTCCCAGCCCCAGACAAGTGGCGCGACGAGTTCTTCCACGAATGATGAGGGGCAAGTGGGGTTAAACTCACGATGGCGCGGACTGCGGGCGGTTGGCACTATTTGGTGTGGAGGTACGTGGAGGTTTGCGCCGGATGCCTTGCCAGTTAAATAGACCGTCTAGATCCTGAGTTCCAATAAGTATTTCGCTCAATCAAATTCAGTCTTGACTTGTTCATCCTCTAACTCCTCATCCTCAAGACTTTGCTTCAAACTTCTGGAAGCTTTGCGGGGTATTTCACGCTACATTCCGATAATTCCGAACGTTGATAGCAACGCAACAAGAACATCACAATGGTCATTACAATCACAGGTGCTGAGACGAGGGATGTGCGGTTTCCGGTACGTTTTATCATGGATCAAAATTTGAAGGCAGAGCTGACCTCTCTGGACTAGACATCCCTTGACAAGACTGGTTCCGATGCTATGAACGCAGCGGGAGACTACTCTTCGGCATACTGTATCTTACATACAGACTCTGAGTTCAAGGGTCATGGCATGGTAAGTTCAAATTCTGTCTGATTTCATACAAAAAAGGAAAGACATGAGTTCACAAGGTGATGAATACCTTGTAACATCGCTTTCCTGTCATACCTCTATCTTGATGCTTTGGGCGAAGCATTCTGTTCACAGCAGATTACCTCAAGTTCTATTCCGATTCGATGACAATCCGGTTCCAATCCGCTTACATTTTCTAGACCTTCACAATTGGTCGTGGTAACGAGATCGTATGCACTGCCATCGCCTATCTCGCGGACCGCATCAAGGGCCACACACTTGACTCCCTTGTCGCCAACTGGGGAAAGACATGGCGTCACCTGGTGAACGACTCTCAACTCCGCTGGATCGGACCAGAGAAGGGTGTTATCCATCTCGCTCTTGGTGCTGTTGTAAACGCCATCTGGGATCTGTGGGCAAAGTCGCTCGGCAAGCCTGTATGGCGTATTGTAGCAGACATGACACCACAGCAGATTGTCGATTTGATCGACTTCCGTTACATAACCGACGCTATCACTCCTGAGGAGGCGCTGGAGATCCTTACCAAATCTGAAGCTGGTAAGAAAGAGCGACTCGAAGAAGCTCTTAACAGCCAAGCCGTTCCCGCATACACAACCTCTGCAGGTTGGTTAGGCTATGGAGAGGACAAGATGCGTGGCCTTCTCAAGGAGACACTGGAGAAGGGATACAAGCACTTCAAGCTCAAGGTTGGAAGCGACATTGCACAAGATAAGCAGCGCCTTAGCATCGCACGAGAGATTATCGGTTTCGACAAGGGCAATGTGCTCATGGTCGATGCGAACCAAGTATGGAGCGTACCAGAGGCAATTGAGTACATGAAGGCGTTGAAGGAGTTCAAGCCGTGGTTTATCGAGGAGCCTACCAGCCCTGACGACGGTATGCATTCTCCCTTATCTCACTTGTGTTACATTGAATATTGACTGATTCCTTTAGTCCTTGGCCACAAAGCCATCAGAGAAGCCCTCAAGCCCTACAACATCGGTGTCGCAACAGGAGAGATGTGCCAAAACCGCGTCATGTTCAAGCAATTCCTCGCCTCAGGAGCCATCGACATTTGCCAAATCGACGCCTGCCGTCTCGGTGGTGTCAACGAAGTCATTGCTGTCCTCCTTATGGCTGCCAAATTCAACATCCCCATTGTACCGCACTCCGGTGGTGTTGGTCTGCCAGAGTACACTCAACATCTTTCTACCATTGACTACGTTGTTGTCTCAGGGAAGAAGTCGGTGCTGGAGTACGTTGACCACTTGCACGAGCACTTTTTCCACCCCTCAAGAATCGAGAACGGATACTATGTTACACCTATGGATCCAGGTTACTCGGTTGAGATGAAACCCGAAAGCATGGACAAGTTTAGCTTCCCCGGAGGCAAGGACGGGTGGTGGCAGAGTGAGGAGGCGAAGCCAATCTTGGAGGGCATTAAGATTTAAGTGTTGGCTTTGCAGACGAAGTTTAAGCAAGAGCGAATTTAATGCATTGAATGATTACGAGTTTTGGAATATGCATGGTTACTCGTCCCACTGCATCGGGATATGATAGATATCCGAATTTGCAGCTTCCAGACCAGCGTTTCGCATCGATGTGCATTCCTGACTACTCAGGTAGAGGAACGCTGACTAGATATCCTGGTTACTGTCAAACTCTATTGCATTTGGCGTTTCTGCTTCTCCAGGTCTTCGAGCTCTCGAACAAACTACGTTTGTTTTTACTCGAAGAATTCACCATCAAAGTCAGTAGGACTTCAACTACAGTCCTGATGCATTCCAAGATTTTCTGGGAGGCCTGAAATATTTTACTCTGCTCTCCATGACCGTCTCCATCTTCTGGTTTGATCTCCGCTTGTAAGGTAGACGAATGCTACTAGGCCAACAGTCCTGGAAGATGATTGGATATTTTGAGATCTTCCGTAGCGGCGTTTTGACGGAGGAACCTGGACTCTAGTACCTAGTGTATACACTCCAGGTTCTAGAACTTGACTACTATCTTAGCTAGTACTGTTTCTGCGGGTCTTACGAACAAGTCATCCCACTCCTTTCTTCCCATTATGACACATTCCACGACTGTTTTTTCTTATTGTCATCAATATCCTCTCTCTTGTACATATGGGTATTGAACATACGACCTTGCGTATTCTATGTCAAAAACCTAATTTACCACCAACCCGATCTATAATCTTCCAATGGCCGCAGTATCTGCAATGGGAGTAGTTTTGGAGACGGATAGTGAGAAATATTGCGGAAAGATTAAATGTGCCGATGAAATCCCCTTTACCAATATCAGACGTAGCTGTTTCCATGCCATTGTTCGAGCTTATAAATATCTTGCTTCTTCACGACGTTGATAAGTTAAGGATGGCGGACGCTGTCCAATCTACCTAGGTATTGCGAATAGCGGCGGGGTTAGGGGTAGGTGAGAGCTAGGCCGGCCATTCTCAAATCACCCTTGTAGTACAAGCCTAAATTGAAATGGTGAAACCTCCATAAGAGAGCATGCTCTCAAGATCGCTGATCGTCAGAATGGTGAAAAATGCTAAGATTGTACCTAGATAGGCTCAACGCAAGAAATGAAGTTGCGTTATCGGACTGTCGGACCGTTCCGTCCAGGCGGCTATTCAAGGCTCACGGCATACCTCCCGATACTGCATGAACACCTGCGTCTTCTCAACTCATCCGTATTATATATACTGTCGCTCAAAATCTGCTGCGTCTTACAAATTGAGTTGCTCACAACGACGCTGGCTGGACATCAACATTAAATCTACGGCTCCATCCATACCCCACCACCCCGCCTAGGTCACCGGAACCTGTACAGAAAGCATATAATCTTCAAGGGCCAGTTCCCACGATTAGTAACATAATGGCTCCTCCCCCAGCTCCAGGCGTCTGGTGCCCCGCGGTAACCTTCTACACTCCCGAAAGCGACACGGCAACCTTGGATCTCGCGGCACAGAAGCAGTACTTCACATACCTCTCCAAATCAGGTCTTACTGGTTTAGTCATTCTTGGCTCGAATGCTGAGGCGTTCCAGCTCACTCGCGACGAGAAAAAGGCATTGGTAAAATGCGCCCGCGAGGCTGTCGGCCCCAACTACCCCCTCATGGTGGGAATTTCGAGCTTCTCCGTATCACAGGTAATGGAGAATATCAGCGACGCCATCGAAGCCGGAGCGAACTACGGGCTGTTGCTGCCAGCCGCATACTATGGGCCTGCGACATCCAAAGAGGTTGTCATGGCCTTTTACAACGAGGTCGCACAGAAGTCTGAGTTGCCTATCGTCATCTATAACTTTCCGGGTATCTGCAATGGAGTGGATCTTGATTCTGTCACAATCGCTGCGCTTGCCAAACAAAACCCAGGGAAGATCGTCGGTGTGAAGTTGACATGTGGTAGCGTAGCGAAAATCACAAGGCTTTGTGCTGAGTTGCCGGGCGATACCTTTTCTACGTATGCTGGACAGGCGGATTGGATGGTAGCCGGCCTGGCAGTTGGAAGCGCTGGTTGCGTATCAGCATTCAGTAATGTCTTCCCAAGGGTCTGCTCGAAGATCTATGAGTTGTATACTAGTGGCGAGACACAAGCAGCACTAGAGCTACATCGGAAGGCGGCACTTGCAGAGAGCCCAATCAAGGCTGGTATCGCGCCCACGAAGCACGCCGTCAGCCAGTACAGTGCGAAAGCAGCCGGTATCGAGGGTGCAGAGGAGAGGCTTAACCCAAGGCGACCATACATGCCTGTTAGTGAGGCGCTCAAGACTAGTGTAAAGAGTGCCATGTCAGAGCTAGCTGTGATCGAGACCATTTGTTAGATCAGGTCTATGTATGGTCTTTCCAAATTAGTTCAGATAAAGATAATTACATATTGCGCAAGAGCGACCCTTCCATGTTCTATGCGCAGCAAGCACTTTTCAGCGTACACATTGTCATCTCTGAGAGCTTCGAACACGTGTTAGATGAGGGCTGATCCGCGATAATGTTTGCGTTGATATCGTAAAGGCATCCATGAGCCAAGAGAGACCCCAGCACTGAGAAAAGGGCAGACCCTGAATTTAGCGGCGCACGTGCCTTATCGATAACAATCATTCACGTCTCGAACTTTTTCCAACTCCATTCAGCACAACAGAAATGGCGGCGCAAAGAGGAGCAAACGTCGTTGAGAAGAAGAAGAGATCAAAGAAGAGAAGGACGAGGACCGAAGGTGCGACAAGCGTATGGAACAGACGGCGAGGCATGCGCTAACAATTGGGCAGTCTCATCATCGAGCGAAAGTGACAGCGATGTCTCAAGCCCAAGGAGCCAAAAAGTGGCTGCGGTAGAAGAAGAGGCCAAGGTACTATAGTCGCGTCGAAGAGAGTTTGTCTGAGCTAACTTGAAAAAGGAGCCTTCACCGGCACCGACACCCGCCAAGAAAGAGAAGAAAGAGAAGAAGAAGAAGTCTCAAACTGCCAGTGCACCGGATGCTCAGCCAGACGAAGATGTTGTCATGACGGATGCACCAGCTCCTGCACCGCAAACAAAAGCAGCGTCAAAGGCCAGCAAACAGGCGCGAGAGGACTTCAGCGCTATCTATCTACGCAAAGTCGCAGCCGAGTTCGCCGATGATCTTGACAAAGTGCGTGAAGCGCAAGACTTCAAGGCAAGTAGCGTGCCGATGCTCATTCATGCGCTCAAGCAAGGCGAAAGTCTGTTCAGTGTAGAAGAGCGAAGAAGGGTCGCTGGGGCTGCAAACGCGTAGAGAAAGAGGCAAGCATAGGCGGCGTTTGGTGTTTGACTTTTGGGATTGATTCGTAAGAAGATTATCTTAATGGAAATATGTGTAATCATGTAGAGGCGCCTAGGTCCGGTCCTGTCCATGCACCAAACGCCTTGCTATGCCGAATCTTGTGAAGACATCTAATACGCCTCAACTTCCATGCCGCTCCGCCATTCCAACTCGATTGTCCAAGCCAGTAGATTCGGATGCTTGATAACGACCATGTCGTGTGCCAGCTTCATGACTTTCTCTCTCTTGTCTGCTTTCTCTCCCGATGGCAGCACCATCAAGGTATCGTACGCTCTAGCTAGTAGCTTCTCTTCGTATTCGCGCCTGAGCTCGTCGTCTCTCGTCCAGTTGATGATCTCCTCGTATATGCCTTCTAGTGGACTAGCAGCATATATCTCATTCTTCACAGAAGAGGTAGTATTTTCTAGCGTCGCGCCGATGCGGAGTCGCCTCTCTTCTATGAGGCGCTTGATTGTGGAAGCCTCCTGTGTCTCGTGGATCTCGGCGATACGCGTATAGGTTTTGGAGGGGTCGGGCAGGCGACCTTCAAGGTACGAATAGACGGGCGAGGATGGTAGTTGTGTGCTAAGCGCACGTGCATATTGAGTCTTGGTGCCATGTGCGCGGGCATGATCGACGAGCTTATCGATGGCTGATTGGGACTTGTACGCGTCGTCGCTACTCTGGTCAGCAATTCAGCCTCATCTCCAGCATCTGCACCGCATACAGGTTCATGTAGATTTGTGCCAACTCCAGGCCAACATCAGTGTTCTCATCAACCTTTGCGCCCTTGAGGCCCTCGTACATGCCCCTCAGCCCTAGCCATGCCTGCGCATCGTCGGGCTTGATCTTGGTCGCGTCATAATAGGCCTTCGCTGCTTCCTCAAACCTGCTCAAGCCGTCGTTCGCACGCCCAAGGAATAAATAGGCAAAGTAGTTCTGGGCATCCTGCTCCAACACTGCCTCCGCTTGGTTCTTTGCTTCCTCCCAATCCTTTGCGCCAATAGCAGCCTTTGCGGCCTTGAGAGCGGTTTTTGTAGACATAGTGTTATTTCAGGTAATGAGGGTAGGAATATGGCCGTCCGTACGGCGTTATTCGTGTTATGAAAGACCCATAAGGAGTGAATTGAACTGTGGAAGCTTTGGTGGGGCTTGCAGCGTCGAAAGAGCAAGCAATGACGCACGGCATGCTAGCGTCGATCCTGGTCCTCAGCCTTACCAAACGACGAACACCAACCTCGACCCTTCTGCAATTCATCAGCCACGACTTTTCGCCGCCTGCTCTTCCAGGCGCTTTTGATAATTCCACTTCCTTTCGTTGAAGCATCTGTCAGCGTTCTACCTTTCATTGGCTGGGTAAAATATTCGGGTTGCTGTCATGGCGTCACACGCGGACAGTGCGCACGACCTGCTAGATCTCGACATATCGACATTGCGGCAATTCGTCGAGCTCTTCCCCGATGAGGGCCTATCTAAAGTCATCACTGGCTGGCTGAGCAGCGGCATATCAAAATACCCGCTGACGGAAGAGGGCGACTCAAGAGAAGGACCTGACCTGAGTGAGGGAGGGGTAGCTCTTACTCAAGATGTGCTCGTATCACAAGAGGACTGCTTGGTGTTAATGACGGAAGGGATTGGGGAGGCTGCAAGGTCACCACTAGCGCACTGCTTGCTCGGAGACTACTACTTGTCCTTGGAAGAGTACGAAAGCGCGGTCGAAACGACAAGAAAAGGTTTGAAGTACGCGGCTGCTGAGGCAAAAAGAACCGATTTGTCATTTCAAAGGACGCGCGACGCTTTGAGTAGTACACTTGCTACTGCCTTGGTCTATTATCAGGCCCCAAGGAACCATTTGGAGGCCAAAGGTATCTTCGAGTCCATCTTGAGGCGCAAGCCACAATTCACCTCTGCACTCATCGGCATCGGACTGGTCTTGGAAGAGGAAGAGGAATATCAGCAAGCTTTCCAGTTCCTTGAAAAGGCGCTACAGCAAGATCCCTCAAACGGCCGCATAGGTGCAGAGTCAGCCTGGTGTCAAGCACTTGCAGGCGACTACAAGACTGGATTAGAAAGGCTCCAAGGATATCTCGAATACCCACAGCTCGATGCCTCCAAGCAACGAGGCCGTGAGCTCCGCGCCCAGACGCTTTATAGGATAGGTGTCTGTTTATGGGAGCTCGATCCGTCGAAGGCTGCGAGGAAGGATCGCCAAAGAACATATGCGAAGCTACTTGCGGCGATCAAGGCAAACCCAAATTATGCTCCAGCATATACTCTGCTCGGCATCTTCTACCAAGATTATAACAAAGACCGCAAAAGAGCGCGACAGTGCTTTCAAAAGGCCTTCGAGCTATCGCCTTCTGAGGTTGTCGCAGCCGAGCGCTTAGCACGCCTTTTTGCCAACCAAGGCGAGTGGGACATTGTTGAGGTTGTCTCTCAGCGAGTTGTAGACTCTGGTAAAGCACGCCAGACCCCAGGTTCAAAACGGAAAGGTGTCAGCTGGCCCTTTTCCGCATTGGGTGTCGTGCAGATGAATAAACAGGAATACCAAAAGAGTGTCGTATCGTTCTTATCCGCACTGCGCATTAGCCCGGATGACTACTACTCCTACGTCGGCCTCGGCGAGAGTTATCATAACTCTGGACGATACAACTCAGCATCACGCGCGTTCAATTATGCAGAAAATCCCACAGATGGCGTTGTGTTGAAGAGATCAGATGAAGAGGGATGGTTTACCAAGTACATGCTTGCCAATGTCAACCGCGAGCTGAGTGAGTTCGACGAAGCTCTTGCAGGTTACGAAGCAGTACTAGCATCTCGCCCGAAAGAGTTCGGCGTCTCAATAGCACTCCTACAGACGCTTGTAGAGAAGGGTTGGCGTTGCGTTGAGACTGGCTTTTTCGGAGAGGCTGCCGACAGCGCTACCCGGGGTATCGAGGTTGCGCTGACAATAACCGAGTACAAACCGGATGCTTTTAACCTTTGGAAGGCTGTTGGCGATGCATGCAGTCTGTTCACTTGGGTCCAGGAAAGGCTTAAGCAATTCCCTGTAGAGTTGATCGAGAAGGTGCTGCGCAGCAAGTCGGATATGAAGATCGATTTCGACGAGCACAAGGATATTGATGGGCTCGGACAGGATGCTTTGACTGCACTTTCTACAGACGAACACAGTACTCTCGCAAAAGTGCTCAAAGCCTCGATACTTGCACAAAAGCGAGCAATATCCAGCTGTGCGCACGACATACACGCACAAGCTGTGGCGTGGTACAACCTAGGTTGGACTGAGTACAGAGCGCATGTCTGCCTAGAGCAGGAAGGCACTGAAGGTTTCAAATTAACAACATACCTCCGAGCAGCTATGAAGTGTTTCAAACGCGCTATCGAACTTGAAGCTGGGAATTCAGAGTTCTGGAACTCGCTTGGTGTCATTACAACAACGCTGAGCCCCAAGGTCGCTCAACATGCTTTTGTTCGTTCCTTGCATCTCAACGAGCGCAGTGTGCACACTTGGACGAATCTTGGAGCGCTTTACCTTTTACAAAATGATCACGAGCTTGCACACACCGCCTTCTCACGAGCGCAATCACAAGATCCTGACTACTCGTTGGCTTGGGTAGGCGAAGGAATCATCGCATTGCTTACCGGAGACTCCAACGAGGCGCTCTCCCATTTTACCCACGCGTTCGAGCTCTCAGAATCATCATTGCTCTTAACGAAACGACAGTATGCCGTCTCAGCTTTCGACTTCCTAGTTTCTTCGCCTTCATCATCCAGCAACATCACGAACCTCATACAACCTCTATTCGCGCTCCAACAGCTCAACGTACAGGTGCCTTACGATATCCCACATAAGCACCTAGCTGCACTGTTCCTAGAGCGTGTCGGCAATTACGATGCAGCAGTGGCTGCTCTGCAAGCTGTAAACGAGACCGTCGAGCAAGAGTATGAGAAGTCAGAATCGCTGACATCACTGGCTCGTGTTGCACAAGCCAAGACGGACCTGTCTCGTAATCTCCTCGCTGTCGGGTCTTATGATTCAGCCGTGGAAGAAGCTGAGACAGTACTAGACCTGCTCTCGGAGCTAGAAAGCGACGCGGAACAGTCTGCGTTGTCCAAGGAGCAGATCACAAAGACTAAGCTATCAGCTCGTCTTACAGCTGGTCTAGCACACTACTTCAGCGGCTCCTTCGATGCCGCCATACCCTATTTCCGAACGTCGCTTGAGGCAACCGGAGCCAACCCAGACATTATTTGCATCCTCGCTGAAGTACTCTGGGCCAAGGGAGGAGAGACCGAGAAGCAAGTGGCTCGCGACCAACTATTTACCGCGATAGAAAAGCATGAAGGTCATGTGGGCTTGTTGACACTCATTGGCGCCATGACAGTGCTTGATGATGATCTGGAAACCATGGAAGCCATCAAGGACGATCTGGACCGACTGCGCACGAACAAGGAGCTCAGTGACGAGCAGCTTGCCCGGGTGGAGAAGGTTGCTGAAGCCATCTCGGTTAGTTTGGGTGGCGAGGAACAAGAACTGGATGAAGCCCGACGTAGTGTCATGCTTGCGCCTTGGAAACACACCGGTTGGGCTGAGCTCGCTGACGCTGCTGGAGGCGATGTTTTTGCCAGTACACTTGCGAAGGAAACTGCGATGCGAAACGCGCCACCGAATGGTGCGCTGAGTGCTGTTGGTTTGGCAGGTGCCATGGGTAGTACTGGCAACGTAGGAGATGCTCAAAGGGCAATTGTGCTAGCACCTTGGTGCAGTGATGGCTGGAGTGCCTTGGCCGAGTGTGTTCAAAGTGCTTGAACAAGAAAAAGGCTGTCTCGCATGCATACGCTACGAAGCGCCGTACAGCTCTGACGGTTTCGAATAATTCATGTGCATCAAAGAAACTACTTCAAACATGTCGTTCATACTGTATCTGTATCGCCTACTAACGTCGACGTCCGACTACTAGTGATGTCTTCATACAACTGTCCAGTCGTCATTTCACCGTTGTTGCGAGCCCTTTGAGGATTGGTAGTGCATTACCAGCAGCCGGTACCCCCACATCAGAAGCTGCACCGAATAGACTTCCGAGCTTCGGTTCCGGCTTGGTGTCTTTGGAAATTCCGTCCAATTTTGTAGTATCCTTCTCCACTGCCTTAGCAACCTTGACCGTGTCGCTCCGTTCGTCTATCGAGGCTTCCTCCGTTTCCTTGGTGACAATGCCAGTATTCTCTGGCAAAGAATTGCTGAATTCGTAGTAGCGAGACGGTGGGTACACGATTTGTGAGCCAAAGATAACATGAGCGCGCTTTTCCAACAATCGGACGGCAACATCGTAGATGAAATCGGCCGGCAATTCTGCCTGCGCTTCTCGAAGCAAGATTGGGTCACCGAAGTCTGTGTAGAAATCCAAAAGCAGGTTCCTGACCTGACTTTGGTCGGTCATACCCTCGAACAGCTTTGCCGTTGCTACAGCTGGGAGAGAATGTTTCCATTTGACGGAAGGTAACATGGAACTGTGGAGCAGCTCGTTCAAGAAGCTGTACATTCCCTCAACGGTCTGGTTCTTGGATTTGGTATCTTGTAGTCTTTCTGCCAAACCGTATAGCTCACATAGCTTTAGCCACTGGTCAGGACCTCTGGTGGCCAGCTGATTTGCGTATACGAGGTTGAGGTATAGACGAAAAGTTTGAGGATCTTCATCCAGTAGCCATACGACCAATACATCGTTCCCCTGTGAGTCCTTGCTAGTAGCGCGCTCGATGAATCTGGATCTGGATGTAAAGAGCGTTCTGTGCACACGAAAGTCTGCTCTGCCACCGCCTGTCCCGACAACCACAGGCATCATAGAATCGTCGAAGCTACGGACCATAAGTAATGATAGGATCCTCAGATTGATACACTTACACCAGCATGTCCCACTCAAAAACTCGCTTGTCTTTGGTTTGAAAATTTGCATTACTAGTCGAATCAATTTGCTTATTCGAAATGCTGGTGACGGTCGGACGCTTGGGTTTACTGGGCGTGAAATCGAACTCTGGCATGATAAACTAGCGATAAATTTGGAGTATACTTGCGTGATTATGATCGTTACTGTTCTTTCGCTATATCTTATAATGCGAACCGCTGAGATGACTTGGCTGAAATACGAAGTTTACGACTTCATCAGGATCACAATTGTCTCAACCATGTATCGAGTACGAGTGCGTGTGTAACCACAGAAAACAATAAATCAAACTTGGGGCTTGGTTACAAGCTCATGAAACGATTGCGCGACCTCAGAGTTCTTGAACCTAGCCGAAGTGCGTCCTCCAGCCGTTATGCAGGGGTGAGGCGCAGCACTCAGGACCACCCTAACCAGAAGCGATTGTAGGATCTTGTTTTATGTTAGCATCTGTTGTTCTGACATAGTTGTGGGCGAATCATGAACAGAAACTGCGTGTCATACGCCGAGTTTTGTAATGCATATACTTAGGAAAAGCAAAAGCACTGAATAGACTAGATGACCCAGCTCGCGCTCATATGTGATATGTGATTACTCTGTTTACGCCATGCCAACCGAGTAAGCCAAGCTAGCGTTGCCACGAGCAAATTCATCCTTTTAAATTTATGTGACGCCAAAGCTCATCCTGAGAATGTACACTATCATGTGTTTTGTTAGCATCTCCGTTTGGATCACAGCGAATTCCTTTGGGGGTACGGTCTAGTGTGAGAACAACTGAAGGAAAAAGCCCTCTTTGTATACTATCGTTTGCCTAGGAGTGGATAGTCGATGGTTCTCCAGAGCCGGAAAGTATGCATCTCCATGGTTCGATGCATGTGGTGATAATAGGCTACTGCAAAAACAATGAGCATTAAATCGGTCATAGGCACATTCTGATTTCCGTTATTTCAGGTCATAATCTTGTGTGTGCTGCTGAATAGTCGAGAGTCCTACTTCTTCTCATCGTCCTTGGATGGAGCCTCTCTCTTCTCCAGTATCTTGTCTACAATACCGAAATCTACCGCCTCCTGCGCGTCCATGAAATAATCACGCTCCATGTACTTCTCGATCTCTTCCAATGTCCTCTTCTTTGTGACATGCGACTGGTATATCTTGTTCAATTTATCTCGAATTCTCAAGATCTCTTTGGCATGGTCGGCAATGTCGCTCGCCTTACCGCGGTATCCGCCACTCGGCTGGTGTATCATGACTCTTGCGTGTGGCAGTATGTATCGCTGGCCTTCTGCGCCGCCTGCGAGCAACAAGGACCCCATGGAGGCTGCAATGCCCATGCATATCGTGCTGACTGGGCAGCGGATGTAGTTCATGGTATCGTAGATGGCAAGACCGGCACTCACGCTGCCACCAGGCGAGTTGATGTACATGGATATAGGCTTCTCGGGGTTATCGGCTTCGAGGAAGAGGAGTTGTGCGACGGCGTTGGCGGACATGTAGTCGTCCACCTCGCCATTCAGGCAGATGATTCGCTCTTGGAGCAGACGCGAGAAGATATCAGAAGTTTTCCAGCCTCCACCCTACGAAGTCAGATAGGAAGCGAGTAACAGCGTCGTTGGGCTTACAGTGGTCTCTGTCACGTAGGGTATGGGCAGCGAGATTGCTCGTGGTGTCTGTTGGTCTTGTTGCTGTGGGGTCCATTGCGGTTGGAAGCCGAATTGGCTTGACATGGATCGCGTGCCATTTCTATAGAAGCTTTGTAGTGTCGATGGCCTTGTGGCCCGCCGTAGAAGAGAAGCCATAATGTGTGATGTTGGGGTAGCTCCCTCCTCCCCACACGAACGAAGCTATGGCGCGCCAAGCCGGGGGTCCGACGCAGTGGTTTGGAATCTTTCACGATGCCGCCTCATTACCTCATACGAATCACACAGTCGCCCATCTTTCTTGCCTGATGCCAGGCAGATGGACTTGTCGCCCGAAACTATGCTTGAGCCCCATTAGACTATCCTTGCGGGCTCAATGCCGCCAGTCTTCCGCTCACGTCCCAGGTCGCATCCTGAGGGGCCGCGACCTCGGCCCTACACGAGAAGATGCCCACCAGACGTTCCGCCTTCGTAGGGACGAAACAGCCAAAGAACTTCCGTTGTCGCCATTGCTCGATCCGTTAGTCGTAGATGAAAGATCTCGTTTCGAGCAAACAAAAGAGCGCCCAAAATTTGCAGAATTTACACCTTTTCAGAAGAAGCTATGGATGAATCCATTCGGTATGCACATTCCTGTACTCAGTCAACACACGTATCTGACGGTTCAGCCCACGCGTTGGCGTCACCTATTCGCCATTGTCGCGCGGTACAAATCGTGCTCCCCACCGCTTTCTTGGTCTCTCTCAACGCCCGCCCCCACCCCACAACGAAAGACCCGTGGCTCCTGCCTGTCTCTCTTACCACAGATAAGAAGCATCTTGGTCCTCCGTTTCGTTTTCTCGGGAGGCATCTGATCGCCGCATACATGGGCAAAAGGAGGGCATGGGAGAGAGCTCTTTATGCACGCATGAACGAAAAGTATGGTGGTCATAATTTGAGGAAGATGGTCTGGAGAGAGGACATGCCAGATTTCGTACTGGATGTCATGCGCAAGAGAGCAGTCAGCAAACTCAGCTGGAATTTTGGTTTCAGAGGCCGCTTGATTCCAGTCGCAAGCCCTCGCACTGAGGACATTGAGGGCGTAGAAGACGTTTCCTGTGTGATCATATTCCGATCGCTTCGTACTCGCGCGGACGATTTGCAAGACCAGGCAGATCGGATCACGACCGAACTGGAAAAATGGTCAAACTACTTTACCAAGAGCTTCGAGGCGAAGCTCGACCCTCACGCTGCTCTAGAGGTCACCCACAAAGCCCCGAACTGGTATAGTGGCCCTGTTGTCTCTCATCTAAAACCTCGTGTGCGGTATCCAGAGCTTGAATTTCATACCACCGTCTGGCGAGGGAAGAAGGTTGCAGTCTACAGCTTGACGGATTTGCTTGGAGAAAACAAGGCGCAAGAATTGATAGAAGGCAGTCATTACGCTGGCGAGAGATCTGTCGTAATCAAGGCAGCAAGACACAACGTACCAGTTGAGATACTACTTATGCAGCTTCAGGCGTATATCGCTCAGCCGGGGCCTTGAACGTCCAAACAAACAGTCTAATAGATTTTTCTGGTTCGCTCCTTGTGCCGCAGATCACAACTTCTCAAGTCTTAGTGCTCTCATTCATCCTTCTCTCCCAATTGGACTTTGTCATCCCAAACATGTGCTCATCCTTGACCTCACCATTTTTCACAATATGACCCTTCAGTACACCTTCGAGCGCATATCCATTCTTTTCAAAGCATCGCATGCTCCCCACGTTACCAGAAAATACGCCGGCGTAAAGCTTCGTCAATCGCTGTCCATTGTTCTCGTAGCTCTCAAACGACCATGTTGTGAAGGCTTCCAGCGCTTCTGTCATATACCCCTTTCCCCAAAATGACTTTCCAATCCAGAAACCAACTTCCGCAGTATGCGCGTACACATCCATGCCTAGTTTCAAACCGATACCCCCAATAGCGACATCTGGAGATGACCGCTCACAGATAACGAAATGATGTTGATATGGAAGTACGAGGTTCATGTTGATCCATTGCTCGGCACTGGAACGTGTATATGGGTTGGGAAAGGTGTTCCTCATGTATTGAGCGATCAGCGGGTCATTTGCATGGAGACTTGTGTTTGGGGCATCTTCAAGATGCATAGGACGGATTATCAGACGCGTAGTTGTTACTATGGGTGATGGAACTGATGCGCTCGTCTGTGTTGGTGTCGATTGTCCGGCCATGTTGGCTGAAATGCAGTACACAAACGGATGCTGTCAAAGAGGAAGGATGCAATGAAGCCAGGGTGCCAAGGAGAGCTTAATTTGTATGCAGTCTTAAACAGTTTATCTTCTTCACAGCCGTTGACTCATGGCTGGGATACGAAGACGCAGGATCAGGCTAAACGACGCGAGGCAGACGCACCTTCCCAGTTAGGAGGGGTAACTGGTGGCCTGAGATAGCTGCACTCATTGATTACCATCAAATACGACCAAGATGTGGTCATCACCATCAGGTAATGAAAGACTTGATGGTTATGACCTGCACGCTGGATCATAATCCTACAAGGTTGGGTTGGGGACATGTGACTAGAAGAGGGGTGACGTCGTGTGGAGGTGATATTAGCGCAGCGCGCTAAAACGCGTCTGTCGCGTGGGCTATCCAGCGCTCGGAATTCCTACCTCACATCGCAACGGTGCTTCCATGTCGTCTTTCGGAGCAAAGTGAGTCATAATATTGAGAATATTTTACACGTCTAACAAGGCTATAGGAAGGTTGTGAGAACCTACTCGCGACAAACAAAGCGCCAACTCTACGATGAGGAACCGCGTACCAAACGAAGACGCGTCGAGACCACTATCGAATACACCAAATCCACAGCCTTAACGTCACTCGATGCTGCTCCCACGGTCATCGTGTCGTCTCTTGAACGTGGAAGCTCTACCCCTCCTCCATCCAGCCCGAAAGATTCGCCCGCAGTCTTCTCAGACGAACCGCCTCAGTCTAGTCCACCGTCATCCCCAGTCCCACGCAGCTCGCCGCCGCCTGTTCAGAAACGGCGGCCGGTCTTCTCGATATTCAAGAAGCAACTCAAGCCTAGAGCGCCCGTCAAAGAAGCCCTTGTAGAACAGAGCCACAATGTGCAAAGCTCGCCGAAGCCTGCGCCTAAGAAGAAGCAGATGGTGCAGATGCAGTTAGACTTGGCATCAGAGACGCGGAAAACGTGTAAGACATGTGGGATGCAATATATACCGTCGCATGCTGAGGACGCGGCGCTACACAAGAAGTTTCATGCGATGAACCTTGGTGGAGTGGACTTCACCAAGCCAGTCGTTGAGCGCTTCAGGAAGAATCAGATATGGAG